TGATAAGTAAAATATTTTTAAAATTTTAAAAGCAAAAAAATAATATATATACTAAAGATTGGACAAAAAGTAAAGATGATGACAATACTAGCCTAGGCCACAAAATTATTGTCCTACATTTTTCAATAGTATGTATAGGAACAACATATAAAAAAAGAAAAGAAACACAGCCATTGAATATATATATATATATATATATGAATATTGTGATTCAAAAATTTTGATCATGATGTTAAGATATTTTTTTTCTTTATCCTTTTATCACAGTGAACTGATTGCCAATCAGAACAAGCAAATTAAGTGTACCTAGCTTGCCCTGTACCAAAGGTATGTTGAGAACAAGAATTCTCTGAAGTGCGCAAACATTAATTAAGTCCCTGACATGTTCGTTGTTGAGTTGTGTCCCTAATTTGAGGTTATGTCGGTATTTGTGAAAGAACAAGTCATTGAAGTTGTCCTTGTCTTTATGTTATCTATTGGTGAGTTGTTTGTGTCTGTATTAGCTGTTTACGTTTATTTTTGTTGAAAGATCTTGACTACTAAGGCTGTTTCTTTAATGAATAAAGAACATCATTTCCCTGTACCACTTTTCACACGTCCCATCCTGTGTTGTGTGTTCCTTTAATTGTGCATTTCTTCTTCCATCCTTTATCGTGCATACCAATTGTTTGCTAAAAGTCCCAAGTGAGTGTCCTGTTTCTCCTCTGTTTTGACCCTATATGCTTTTCTTTAAATTCACTGCATCAGAAAACTAGCTACAGAACCACTAAAAGGTTCAAGCTGGCATCTTAGAGATATGAAACAAGCCATCTGTCTCAAGAGTCAGTTAACTTCAATCTTTGTTACAAGGACTCTTCATTGTGCTCTAACAAACTGAAATCTGATACTTCTTGAACATTTAAACTCTGCATGAGTTTGTGGACATGACTCTTGGACGTTTCAAAATGATGGGAAAACTTGGAAAAAAAATAAATTGGAAGCACCTATATATACTGAAGAAGTTTCTATATCTGATCTGATGATCATGTACCTGTATCCGGATCCTTCTCTGCAATATGGCATCAGGAATGATGATGAAGACCTAAAAAGGATTATGCAGCTGACAATATTATGTCGTTGAATTAATAACTTCCCTTGAGGAACAGATTCTGCTTAGCTGTGAGCCTGTGACCATTTGCAGTATCGGATCCTGTTTGAAAGAAAACTGTTAATGAAACTATCCCACTGGAACTGGATTAGTTTCGAAATGAACATTATTGAGCCCAGTGATCCTGGAATCCAAGATGCTGAAGAAACCAAGATTGCTGGAAAAAAATGTTGTCCAGAAAAATAGAATGATATTCCGAGTTTATTGACAGTAATTTTATTCAAAGAGAGATTATTGACAGTGATTGCGAAATAAAGGTTCTCCCATTCATGATTTTGATCTTTGGAAGAAATTGGAGCAGGGGCTGAGCATGAAAGAAAAGACAAGCCAAGTTTTCAATGCCTTCTGAGCCTTGATTTAAATAATGTTAATGCACAAATAGAAACACAGAATTGGACAGACCAAGTAATTTATAAAATTCTGATCATCCTTTGCATTTTTGCTTAAAAATCTGACGGAAACATGACAACTTGTTCAGGAAAGCACTTAAATAAGTACAGAGCAAAAGGGACTTCAATTGGAAATCTAGGGTAAAGAACATTAGGAATCGAGGGATTGATTACTGCATTCTCTCCTATGGAACAATGACATTGGAGAAGCATGCTCTCCGTCCATATTATGCCAATGCCAAGTACTGACATTCTAAACCCGAAGAAAAGCTCAGAAAATGTTGCAGGAGTGACACAGATTGAATAAATACTCATGTACAACATCAAACTTGGAAAGAAGCAAGAGGGATTTTAATCATGAAAGAAATTGATCGTATAGAAAACAAGCAATGAACGAAGTAAATTAAAGGAATTAAGACAAACAAACATATATGAGGCTAAATAAACAACGAAGCAGTAAATTTTATTTGAATCAATGTTCTCCCCAGCCATACTATTTCTCTATCTATTTCTGTTTCGCTAAGGCAACATCTCAATGCACAGGACCATCATCTGCATCTAAGAAATATATCCAGCAGAGCATCAGAAGACGTTGATCTTGTAGGTTTTGCTCCATCATCAACTCATTCTCAGCCCAAACATAAGCAAGCTCCAATTCAAATCTTTCCGCGGCAGCTTCCACTTTTGCTGTTTCTGCCATTAGCTGTTGTCGCATTTGATTTGTTTCTTCCCTCTTCTTCTTAACTTCCGCCTTCATCCTCTTGACTTCTTCCTTTGCTTTCTGTTTTCATTCAACACTCTGTTTCAGTACAGTTGTTTGTTTTTTTTTTCCTTTTAATGATACCTTAAAAATATATAAAATATATATAACGTATTAATATTTATTTTGATTAATATTTTATATGTTTTTAAAATAATAAAAAAATAAAATATTTATCTTTGTGTTCATCCCTCGTACTTATGTCAGCAGACCGGTTGGCTTCGTTGACGGGAGAATGGTGGTTTGCCTTTTATTTAAAGTTCGAGGATTTTAGTAATTCTCTTTAAGTGTAGGAATAACAAGGAGCATTTTACACAAGTTCAAGGATTTTTATTGGATTTATACCTTTCTCATTTTTTTTTAGGTAAAATAAATAAAAATAGGAATTACACCTAAATCTATAATATGAAGAAAAAATCAAAATGAGTCAATACTGGCCTAGGCCACTAAATTATTGTTCCGCATTTTTCCTTAATGTATATAGGAATAAACATTAAAAAAGAAGAAAAAGAAAAGAAACACAGCGATTGAATAGCTATACATAAATATATAAAAATTGTGTTTCAAAAATTTTGATCATGATGTTAAAATACTTTTTCTTTTTCTTTTTATCACAGTGAACTGATTACCAACCAGAACAGACAGATTAAGTCTACCTAAGTTGCCCTGTACCAAAAGGCAAGATGAGAATAAAATGCACAATAACTGAAAGAAAAAGGAAACTGCAATGTTTGATGTCCAGTTGTGCTCTAAATGTGAGTTTTTTTGTGTGTTTGGGAAAGAACTTCATTTGACTTGTCCTTGTCTTTAGGCATTCGGTGTGTTTAAGGATGGTGTTTAGTCTAAGTTATATTACCAAACCGGTTCTGTTGTATGTTTTTGTCAAAAGACTTGAGTATCTATCGCCCTAGGTCTTTGCTGAATAAAGAACAATTTCCAGTACTAGTTTTTAATAGTGGCATCCAGTGTTGTGAGTTCCTTTAATTGTGCATTTCTTCTTACATCCTTCATTGTGCATACCAATTGTTTTTTTTTTTTTTTTAAATTTGAACAGTACCTGAAAATGCATACCAATTGTTTGTTAAAGACCTACGTGACTCTCCTGTTTCTCCTATGTTTTGACCCTATTTAATTTCTTTAAATTCCCTGCATCAGAGAACTAGCTACAGAACAACTAAGAAAGCTCTCAAAGTACTAACAACTGAGTCAAGTTGGTAACCTTGACTCATGTATATTTACTCAAAATTACACAAATTCCCCATTCAACAATAAGGAATTGGGACACACGAGAGTTAATTGGCTGCAAGATTCATAGTCCAAGTTTAAGAAGTTTGATCGGAATTTCTGTCTCAAGAGTCAATTAACTTCAATCTTTGTTACATGGACTCTTCATTGCACTCTAACAAACTGAAATTTGGTACTTATAGAACAATTAACCTCTCTATGAGTTTGTGGACATGGCTCTTGGACCTTTCAAAATGAAGGGAAACTTGAGGTAAAAGAAAAATATATGAAGCACCTATCTATACTGAACGAGTTTCTGTATCTGGATCATTCTCTACAATATGACATCAGGAATGATGATGAAGACCAAAAACAGATTGTGCAGCTGACAGCATAATTTTGTTTAGTTAGTAACTTCCATTGAGGAACAGCTTCTGCTTAGCTGTGACCGTTTGTTGTCTTGGACCTTTTGTAAATGGAATTCAACAATTCAAATTTAACAAAGCAAGACGTAAAGGTTTGTAGCAATACCTCAATTTCAAGCCCGAGACACTGCTACGTATAAAATAGACATGCAAACAAAGCAAACAAAAATAAGCTTATCAATTCACACCAATCACCAACCACAAAAGAAAAGAGGTTTTATGTCACACGACTCAATTATAAATCTCACCATTTTGATGGTTGGGAGCGTAGAGCTACGTACAAAGTGCAGGATTGAGATGAATGCCTAAATGATGGAGGAGAAGAGGCACGGCCTTTGCCTCTTATGGTAATGGAAGCTTTGTTGTTAAGGAATAAGGGAAGACTCTTCCTCCATTCATTATTGTGTCATCCAGTGTTGTCTCCTCCATTGATTTTTAGGAGGGCTTGAATTGACGGTGGAGATGAGCTTCGAGTTGGATAAAATTTAAAAAGTAATTTACTTTAAAAACTAAATTCTTTCTCTCATAAAATCAAAATTATATAAGAGATAAATTTAAAAATTAACTTTTAAATAACATTTAAATAAATTTAGATGTATAATATTTTTTCAAACTTTGTTTTAAAATCACTTTAAAACTAATTTTTAAACTTTCCTTTAACAATATTTCAATTTTTAAATTTATGCCAGAAGAATTTATTTTCTAAATATTTGCCTTTTAAGTTTTGTTAAACACTCTCAATTTTGCAAACTGAGTTTAATACGGGGAGGAAATAGGGCAAAATAGTCCTTAAAACTGAAACTTGACTCACTTAAAGGTCCAGCTCTATATATATGGAGGAAAATTTTGAAGAGCATTGCGCTTGTAAATACTAAATAATAGGAGCACAGAAATAAGGTCATTTTAGTTTGCCAGGTATATGATGACTTTCCCTAAAATCTACGAACATCGAGTTTGTC